GCAGAACCTGGGACACTAGGGATTAATAGCCTTGAATAAGGGAATTAAAAACATGCAGTCAAAATTCCAAGGAAACCAGAGAAACATATATCAAGAGTAGCCTGTTGGACACTGAAGGGGCTTCTGCTTATGAGCAGGCAGCCAGACCCATACAGATTACTGGCGCCAGTTGACAGGCAATTAGCAGCTAGGCCCACTGAGTAACCAGGCCCGGGTGGGGACAGTTTAGCATTTTAAGCCTGTTTGCTGCCCTCATTCCTGTCTGTCTCTAGTACTATTTGGAATCTGAAAGCATATGGAAACTATAACAAATGCTTTATCAAGAGTGTTTGTTTCTAATACATGAAGAGAGCAGAGGACTGGGGATGTTTTACCCTTTAATCAGGGGATAGAAGTGCAGATTTTTTCCAAACCAACCCATATATAGAATTATCTTGCAAGTATATTAAGCTCCAAGCATTTAAACCGTTCAAATAAACTGATACTCTTGCTGAGAAACTTTTTGAAACTAGTAGTTTCAAGTTAATCCTTTTCAACTTTTACTTTCAACACTTTCTTGCAGAATGTAGATTTCAGATCTGATTGGAGGCTGAGGTGATGTGAATTCTAAGGCAAATGGTTGCCAACTCAACGGCTGCAAGTGTGTGGCCATAGCAGAAATACCTCCTGTGCACCCAGGGCACGGTACAGCCTTGTCAGGTTCTAATGAATCTGCAAACTCTGCTAAATACCCTTTCACAAGGACATGGAAAGGAAGGAAACAAATAGTCAATCCATTTCTAGATCAATGAGGCAAATTTTTCTTCCAAAATAAAATAGCTTTTATGTAAATTAAGTTCAAGATGATATCAAACAGATTATCAGTTTCCCTTTCAGTAAATAAGAGAGAGGATTCTAATAAAAATGATACTTTAATTTCTTTGTGCTGATCATATTACATTTTAATTTCTTTCCTCTTGGTACTTTTGATAAGCAATATAATTTTACATTGCTGGTAGACTGTACACTAAATACCATAATGATGTATAGACACTTACATTTTCTGCCATATACTGACAAATCTCTTTGGTTAATAAGCATAGCTAATAAAGTTAAATAGAAGGTGTTATTAAACCTTAGGAAAAGCACATTAGAAATGATTAACATATTTTTCTTTCTGATGTTATACATGTTGGATAAATATTTTGTCTAAAAATATAAAGGTCTACTGAATTGAAACACAGGGAAAAGTGTTATATAAAATACAATAAAAAGATAAATAATGAGAAGATAAATAATAATAAATGCTTGTTGAATGCAGTCTCAATTTACATCAAGTCATCAGTTTCTTTTCTCAGTTAAACTTCCTCTAAATGAATTCACCTTAAGGTTGAAACCAAGGTCCCTGTAGTATTTAGGATGAGAAGTGTTTATCATTTGACCTGCTTAAAACTTTAGGGGGTTGTTGAACAGGTAGAATAGGTATTTTTATACCCCGCCCCGCCCATCTGGGGAACAAGTATATATAAAAGAAAAGCACCACGACAATCACTTTTTCCCCCTAAGGTTGGGATGGTAAAGTATCCTATTATCTTAATACCGGTATCACTTTTTTTCTATTTTATAGTCCATGATGATGATGATAGGCAATCACTCACAAATGAGTAAGATTGTCTTCAAGGATCTTAATAGTGAGTCCGCAGGTGGCTCCATAGCCCAATTACAGATCCACATGTCTTGTCACAGTGAGGACAGGTGTTTCCAGGAGGAATGGGCACCGTGTTGCTGTGTTGGATGTTCTGATGTTCTTTTTGCCTGTTCCTATTTTGCCTGTCGATGAGCTGTATAAAGTGTTGAGGTCCCTACCAAAGAGTCTTCTTCCATTTTGGTCGGTCCTGAGCAAGGGTCTCCCAAGTGTTGATGTTGATGTTACACCTCTTCATGTTTACCTTCGGAGTGTCTTTGAAGAGCTTTCTTTGTCCTCTACTTCGCTGACCTTCTTTCAGCTGTAAGAAAAAGTTTCTCTTTGGAAGGCAGGAGTCAGGCATGTGAACAACATGACCTGTCCAGTGAAGTTGGTTTTGGATGATCACAGCCTCAATGCTGTTGGAATTTGCTTCGGCCAAGACACTGATGTTTGTGTGTCTATCCTCCCAGCTAATCCAAAGGATCTTGCGAGGACACCGTTGGTGGTACTTTTCCAAGCTCTTGAGATGTCTTCTGTATGTGGTCCATGCTTCCGAACCATACAGCAGAGTTGGAATGACAGTGGCTTGATAAACCAGGAACTTTGTTTCAGCAAGGATGCCATGATTTAAGAAGACTCTCTTACTCAGATGTCCAAAGGCTGTGCTCGCGTAATTCAAGCGGTGTTGTATTTCTGCGTCGATGTCTGCCTTTGATGAAAGATGGCTTCCAAGATAGGTGAACTGATCCATGTTTATGGGGCTTTTTTTCCCATTTGGAGCAGGTTGGTAAAGGACTTGGGTTTTCCTGGTGTTTAGAGTTAGGCCAATACTCTTGTAGACTTCCGAGAATACATTAAGAATGGTTTGGAGGTCCATTTCAGATTGAGCAATGACAGCATTGTCATCTGCATACTGGAGCTCCAATATGGATGTTGTTATGGTCTTTGTTTTGGACTTAAGTCTGTTGAGGTTGAAGAATCTTCTGTCCATCCTATACACAGTTTCAATTCCAGTTGGGAGCTTTTTGTCAGGAAAGTGCATTATGGTGGAGATGAAGATGGAAAATAAAGTGGGAGCGATGACGCAACCTTCCTTTACTCCAGTTTTCACCTCAAATGGTTCTGTTTGATTCTGGTTGCTAAGAACCCTTGCTGACGTTGTCATGGAGAAGTCTCAGAACGCTGATGAACTTGTTTGAAGAGCCAATTTTGGACAGAATTTTCCATAGGGCTTTGCAGTTTATAGAATCAAAGGCTTTAGAGAGGTCAATGAAGGCCAAATAGAGAGAAGTTGCTCACGACACTTCTTCATGTCCTCAGTTCCTCGAGATGGTCTGAAGCCACTTTGAGATTCTGGAAGAATTTCTTCCGCAAGCGGAAGAAGGTGGCTAGCAAGGATACGGGCAATAACTTTCCCAGCACTGGCCAACAATGAGATGCCTCAGTAGTTTCTGCAATCAGCTCTGTCTCCTTTCTTGAAGATAGTAATAATCAAGGCATCCCTTAGGTCAGCTGGGATTTCTTCCTTGTTTCAGATTTTAAGGATGAGGACATCAAGCTGACATGTAAGTTGTTCTCCTCCTCATTTAAAAATCTCTGCAGGTATTCCATCAACGCCGGGTTGCCTTGTTATTCTTCATTTTCCTGATGGCACTCCCACCCTCTGCCAGGGTAGGCGGCAAACTGAGGTCTTCTCTGATTGCTTTTTGCAGAAAGTTGTAGATCTTATCTTCATCGACAGCTGAGTTACGATTCAGAAGGTCCTGGAAATGTTCTTTCCAGTGAGCATTGATGGGTTTGTTGTCTTTCAGGAGTGTAGTTCCATCCTTTGATCTTAGAGGATTAAGGCCTTGAGTGCTAGGGCTGTAGACAGCTTTTGTAGCACTGAAGAAGCCATGAGTGTGTATAATATATATAATATATATAATATACGTGTGTGTATATGTTGGGGGAGGTATTTTACAGTCTGTAGTATTGATGATATCTGTCTTTTGATTTCTGTACTGGTAATAACTCTGAGATACACTTTTAGGCAAAAAAATTTAGATGACTTTTCAGAAATAATATACCAAACCAATAACCATTCCTTTTTTCCAAAGCTCTTCCAAATGCTTTTCCTGATTAACTTCAAATAGGTATTTTTAAAACACTCTTTGACTAGACACCATGTATGAGAGATGCTTTCTTATGAAAGTCAGAGAAAGGATGGATGTCCAGGCTGATTTTATAATTGTAAACATCTGCCATCCTTACCTACAGAGGCACAACTTTAACAACATAATAATGCATATATTACATAAGTGCCAAGAATTTTGTTGAAAGCCTGAGCTTTGTGGAGAGGGAAGACCTTTTAAAGAACATATTAACTTCTAATCTAAATCATACTCATTGTTATTAAAGCTTGAAATAGGTTGAATACTTAAAGTGAGATGAAGAAGAATAATAAAAGACCAGAGACATACTAAAGAAGTGGGAGAATCATTGCTGAATGTTAAAAACAGCTAAAATGACTAAACAAGACAAATATTCCTGTTAGATATATTTTTTTTTAGCTAGAACAAATTTCTTTTGCAATAAATATCATTATAAAAAGAGGCTTGAAACATGAATTGAAAATTATGTTCAACAAAATGGGCTGAAACATTTAAATAAATTACAACTTAAATTAGTTTTTTATTTGGCTTCAGGCAGCTTGAGACTTCCCCATGTACACCATTCTAGCTTTGCTAATTTTTGAAACTATTGATTAGTCTTTCAGTCATTAAGCAATACAATTATTATGTATTGTTTGTGTCACTGTAATACCCAGGAGTCCTCACCCTAGTTCAGAACTGTACCGTGTGGCTGGGTGCTGAACAAATACAAAACAAGAATCTCCATCTTTGGAGGTTTTTAAGACATGGCTAGATAAAGCCTTGGCTGGGATGATCTAATTGGGGATGGTCCCGCTTTGAGCAAGGGGTTGCCCTCCTGAGAGCCCTTCTGACCCTAATTGTCTATGATGCTATGATTCTATAAAAATAATTAATAATTTCAAAATATAAAGGTAGGATCAAAGCTTGTATATGTAGTAGTCTGTTTTGCTGCTAGTAAATTAAAAGGGTTTTTTTGTGAATATTGTCTGACTGAGTTTACATGGGACATGTATATTTCAGTGGTGAATTTTACAGCAACCCCTTAGATAAAGAGAAAAAAATAGTTCCACATATAAGCTTTCAGACTCCATTATATAAAAGTATCTTTACAAATTTGATGTGGCTTTTGCTTCAATTAGGAGCTGAACCCTGGAAGTGAGATTAGAATGTAATATATATTTTGTACTCTTTTATTTTAGGAATTACTTACCTTGACCATGCAGGTGCCACGCTTTTTGCAGACAGCCTGCTTAAGGGGTTTATGGATGATCTCAGAGAAAACATTTATGGTGAGTACAAAGTGACTTTCTCATTGCCTCTCAGCTACAATTTAAATAGACTAAAACCTTTTGTCTTTTTTACTGGAAGGGTACGTGCGTTCTTTATGCTGCAGTGACTTAGTGAGAAGAATTAATTTATATAGGCCTATGGGTCACGCATCTTGAGTCTGGAGAGTAGCTCACTGGTAGGCTTGGGAAAAGGTGTTTCGGTCTAGACCCCACAGAGGATTTGGCAGCCTAAAAGTTAGATGCTTCAGTGTCTAACTTATGGATGTCTGTAGCCAAAAGGAACCAGTGAGGGACATCTTAAACTCTGCCTCTCTTTATGGCTTAGATGTCTAACTCAGGGCTACAGGCAAGTATCTCAAGCTGCTTGGGAGCCACAACCCTGAATCAGCCTCTGCAGAGTAAGCACCTATACCCAGGGGTTGGCAATCCGTGGGGTGGATCTGGCCTGTGAAGGAGCTACATCTGCCTTACAAAGATCTAACCAGGCCCAAGGCAGCTGTGAGATTGCAGCCTCTGCAGCCTTCCCTACTGCTCTCTCAAGCCTGCCGGTAAGGGTAGGTGTAGGTGGGTTGAATATGACAGTGGGGAGAGGCCAGTGGAGATTTACAGTTGGCAGGAGGAGCCTGGATGCAAACTCTGGCCCATGGAGCAAAAGGTTGCCAAGCCCTGCCTCTGCTCATTCTTTCAAAGGAGTGAGCAGGGCTCTCTCTCTCTCTCTCTCTCTCTCTCTCTCAAAGTATCGCTGCTCCCAATGACCATCTTGCAAAAAAATAGCCTGAAGGTTAGAGCCAGGAAATGCCATATCCAAGAGTGAGTTCCTTTCCTATTTGAGAGAGTTGGACCCACAGCTAAAAGACTGCCCTAACCACCAGGCTCCTAAGTACTCAGGTGGGAGGAGGAGGAAGGTCACCCTATAATGCAGGGGTCAGGAAAATGGCAGATCTGCCAAGCAGCTGGACTCCATTTCCCAGCAGCCCCTGCCCACGTTGCTGCCTCTGGTTTCCATGGAGACCCCAGGAGTGGCAGGGCCATGACAGCATAAGGCCAGGGTTTCTGTGGAGATCAGCCCCAGCAGTGCTGGGCTGGAGAGGGAGCTGCTCTGGGGCTGGGACTTTGTAGTGGTGACATTCGTGGTCCAGAGCTCATCTATTTTTATAGATTGCCTTGAGTTCCTTAAATTGAAGGGTACTGTGGCATTATTTGATTTATAATATTGTCTAGATTGAAGTTGTTTTGGAGTTAGTATGAGATGCACATGCATGTAGGACACAGGCTACCACGTATTCTGAAGAGTCTGCTACTTCTTTTGCCTAAGAAATGTCACCAGAGATCACAAGCCTACTGAGCATGGTTGGTACACCGTGAGTGTAGTTTGGCTTACTATGAGACATTCTGGCCCTGATCTAACAAACGCTCATGCAAGTGTTTAGTGCTGAAGTAGGTGAAATAGTCTGCTCTTCATAATGTTACATATGTACATAAATCTTTGCGGATTAGAGCCTTTCTATTCTATGCTAACTGTGTGCCAAATTGGTGCTCCCTGCAGCTGTTTGCATGTGATTGCTGACTTTGGAACTAACTGCTCCTCTTTAAACAGAGAGTCATGGCACAAACCACAGTATATCACATTTTTAGCATATAATACACACCTTTTATTTTTTCCAAAAATCAGATGCTGGAAATTTGGGGGTGCATTATATGCGAGAAATAGGGCAAGAACAGTTTCTGCTGATAGGGGCAAACGCAAAAATCAAATTTGCACCAATCCACAGGGAGCAGAATAAGGAGCAAGCTTGGCTCCCTAGCTGCTACTACTCAGTTACTTACCACAAAGAAAGAACTTTTTATTCAATTAAAAAACAAGGTATGTATCTTATTCTGGTAAATATTATATTAGCTCTCTACCTTCATTAGGTCATTTGTGTGAGCCGTTCAGTGATTCCAGATTCAAGATGACGCAGCGTTCTGTCCCCTCCATTGCCTCAGCAGAGCTGCCAAGAGCAGGGTTGTGTATGTGGCATAAGTTCCATTAAGAGTTTGAAATAATTCTTAATATAGAGATGACTTTTTAGCCTAAAGTGCAGCCCTGCATATAAATATTGTAACAGTATAAGCTGACTTGAACTGAGAAATGCACTTTCTGGTCTCCGATTCAAGTGTATATTAGTAATATTAAAAGGAATGCTCTGTCACTAGACGTTAGAAAGCCTGATAGATATTGTCTTATCTCTGATGTTTCAACTAATTCTGGGCTGAAACCTGATATTAAAAATTATAGGCCCCAACAGAGTTTTTTATGGATTTATTTAGTTAATTTGTAAGTGCTTATGAACAAGAAGGCCCCTCAAACCATTTCTGTATGTATTTTCAGTATGAGAGAAAGATCTGAATTCTGTTAGATGTTGCATCCCTTCATCAAGACTGACAAGTAAATTGCAATTACAGAGCCAGTTTCTTCTTTCAGCTACTCCTGTACCAACTCATTAAGTGCTGTTAAGGTGATATAAGTGTAAAGAAGGGAGTAGTATTTAAAGACACTATTGAAAATGAGGGTACACCATTTTCAGTTCTTTCTTTTGGTGAAACTTTGCAAGGCTAAAGTACTGACTGGCAGTTTGGGAGTGGGGAAGAAGAGCTAAGGATGTTCTATATGGAAAAAAATAAGGTACAAGCATAGATAAAAAACAAGGAACAAGTTCTGAGGCTGCTTTTCATACTGGAAATTTGCCATGTTGCTTTTTTAAGCTTCCCTCTCTAGTCTGTAATGTTTAAAAACTATGACAAATACTTACTGTTTTACCGTCTTTTGCAAAAATTATAGTGTTATAGGCACTTACCTTTTTTAAAACGTTATTTCTCAAATGATATCTACTTTGGTTAAGTCAGATGCTTATTAACATGAGGAAGTGATACTTAGACTTTCGGTCTACATTCTCATTTCAGCAACAATCTGTATTGGGGGTTTTCAAAATTTTTTAGATTCAAGGTACCCCTTGGAAAATGTCAGCTCTTATTTTTCACTCTGTTTTTGACTACAGAAAAATAATAGAGAAATTCTGCTGTTGCAGATTGCTCAGAAAGATCATAACACAGCAGAATGTTTTTAACACTATGAATTCCTGTTTGAAATCTCTGGGATTATTTTGTGAATCATGTTTGCAAACCTAACAGTGCTAACAATGCAGGGCACCCCTGAAAGCATCTGAAGGCACCCCAGTGTGCTGTAGTGCCCTGGCTGAGACTCACTGATTTCTACCTGTAGTTTATTTTTATTTTTTTTATTTTTATTTTTTTTTGTGTGTTTAACTTTTTAACAGGACCTGTTTATGTTGACTTGAGGAAAGCTGGTTGATGAGTTTGCAATAGAATAGATATCTTAGAGGAGCCACATTTATATTGCAGAAACTATTTCCATTTAAGACATATGACTGATTTAAACCTACCTGCTGAAGAATTAACAGTTATTGCTTCAACATACCAAGCCTCCTAACCCTCTGACTGTTATTGGCTTGTTAGCTCATGCATGTACATATTTATTACACATGTACGCGGTGTCTGTTGCTTCCTTCTAGTGGAATAGCATATATCTCTAGTTCCTTCTAATGGATCTCTCTAAGTATTAGTAATTGATCCAGTCATGTCTGGCAGCTGAAGTTTCAAGGTCTGTCATAATTGCTTTTTTCTGTTATATGTCTTGACTTAACTGCTCTAAAGAGCTTCAGGGCATTTCTGTGAAGTATACATTAAATCTTTCTTTGTCATCTTTTTAGACTGGCTTGGTACAGTACTTTGATAAAAGCGGGGGGGGTGAAAATTTATAACAAAAGTGTGATTAATGATTAACTTCTATGTCTCTATTGTCTCCTAGGCAACCCGCATAGTCAGAACATCAGTAGCAAACTGACGTATGACACTATTGAGCATGTTCGATACAGGTAGAAGTATCTCTGTTTCACATAGTATCTTTAGCACCTTGTATCTTTGATTTTGATTTCCCATATGCTCTGGTGATAATTCTTTGGTATTATTTCACTTTAGCATATTGCTGGTTGCATGTGAATAACATGTCTGCTTAACTCCATTAGGAATTGGGCAGTCACTTTTGAGGGAGTTTGTGGGGGTGGGGAGGGACACCAAACCTTCCTGCCCTCCCACCATGGTCAAAATCACTTTTTATACATACATAAGTACATGTGTGACAGTGTTACAGTACAGCTTGCAGCTGCAGTAAGATGTAAGGACTGAAGCCTCAAATGCAAAAGGCTTATGGTTGTTATTAAGATGGTTCAGGAGGTCAAGGGCATGGTTAAAATTGAATAGGCACTCTCAAGGTACCTAGTGGATCATGGGAATTTGTGTATTATGTTAGAGGAATTGCTTGGGTACTTCTTGTGAAAGCAGTTAATTGCCTTTTTAAAATAGGTTTAAGTACTAGAGTTAAGGGAGAGGTAGAGAAGATTGAATGAAAATTATGAGACTGTTCAGTGTTTTTTTGCTGTGTATTGAAGGGTGAGCTCAATAGTAAGAGCATCCCCTCCCCAAGCAACTTCAGGAATGGATGAGAATCTACTTCTCACTAATTTATTTTAATAGCAGAAAGCTGAGATTAGTCCAGCCAATCACTGAAGCTATTTGTGTTCAATGGGAGCTATAAATTAATTTACGTACTTAACTCTATTAAAAACTATGTTATAGAATAACAGTATAAGAGTTTGCTCGGGGCAAGATTTCCCCTTTGGGCTTCAGTGGCACAGTTTGCCAAAGGTATGCAGGACTTGGCCCTTATTTCTTGCAAGCCATGGATGTCCCAAATTACTTTGCAAAGTTCAAGTCTGTGTACCTGTAGGCCAGGTACAAGGTCAAAAAGCCCAAGGCTGAATCAATTTAGTCTGCAGGTTGCAGGTTAAGCTGTACAGATTAAATTGAAACAGAAATGAACAGACATTTACCTTTGATTCTGGAAATGGAGCCACATGCCTGTAGTGGCTCAGGCCAGAAGCCAGGGGGCGCTAGAGGATGGCTTTCTAGCTGTGTGCTCATTTTCAATTCCTTCTGCCCCCAAGGTCTCTGGGATTTGCAGTCCACAGTCACAGCAGCAGGATTCTGCAGGGTTGCTCATCACTTCTTCTTTCTGCTTCCAGGTGCCTCTTTACTCCTCATTTAAATTAAATGGGTTTATAAAATTTAAACTTGTTTATTTTGGAGAGTCGCATCTGTGTTTACATGCACTAGGTTTTCAAATGAATTAAGCCCTGGAGTGTTGCATCTGTGTTTGCATGTACTAGGTTTTCAGAGGAATTAAGCTGGGTCCATGGCTGGTGCCAAAGGAAAGTGGGATGGTCCAGCACTGCCCCCCCCAGCCTGGGGCCCCCACCCACCATGTGCCCATGCCCTGCCACACAGCTGTGGAAGCAGGGAGCTGGCAAACCACACAAGGAAAAAAAAAAACAAAAACAGAAGCAATTCAAAAGTGAAAGCAATTCGAAGGGGTGAACTATAAAAAAAGTCACAGCACCGTCTGGTGGACAAAGAGGTTCATTTCGTGTCTTTGAGTGCCTTTGTGTTTGCACACAACAAAGCCATGGACGTGATGCTTTAATTCCTGGTGAGCCAAAATAAACAATGTCCAAGGAGTTTTACTTTAATGCACAAGAAAGACTTTTAAAGCATCGGGAAATCCCACTCATGCAAACAAAAATGCAGTTGCAGCACATTAAAGGGCAAAAATTGTGGTGTGTACATACACCCCACAGTTGCAGCCAGCAGTAAGTTTGAGCAGGGGAAGGGTGTTTAACTGCCCCTCCCTGCCCCCTGACCTCAGCCAGGGTTTGCCTAGGGGAGCAATCCCCCCTGCAGACTGGGCTGCATCCCCAGCTGGGCTTACCCCCACTCCTACCCCCTTGTCAGCCAGCCCTCACTGCTTCAGCTGGAGAGAAGAGGGGCGGAGTGATCCCTGTTTTCTGGAGTAAACAGTCCAGCCCTGCCGAGCCCAGTCCAAGGCTGGGAAGCATGCTGGGGCATTGTGATTTAACTTGAACCAGGAAGGGGCCTGGGCCAGAAGTTTCATAAACTGGTTTGACCCAAATCAGTTAAACTACATTCAACCAGGTTTATATTAAACCAGTTTCAGCCATTTTGAAACTGGTTTATGTGCACTGAACTTCTGTTCTGTTACAGGTTTAAACCAGTTTCTGATTACTTAAACTGGTTTATACACAACTTCTGTCCCTAGCCATAATATTCAGACTTGGTCATTGTTTGAACCAGTGAAATCTGCTCTGCACCTATCTGCTGTCCTTTCTATAATAGGGGTTTACAAGGGCTCCGTCCTTAAGAAGGTTCAGCCCAGGAAACAAAATGTGCTTTCCTTAATTCATGGAACTATGCAAGAGACTAGGACTTCTTAGGGTGATATCTTTTGTTGGACCAACTGCTATTTGGGATAAAGTTAGGTAAGCTTTCTAATTCAAGACATTCCTGGACAATCACAGCTACAACATCACTCTTTTAACACTACCATTTCTTGGAACTATAGCATTTATTTGTGCCTGTCACAGGTGGCTTGCAAAATGTAGTCTGTTTACTTCAGGCCAGCATTTATTAGATGAGACTAGTTTTATCAACAGAACTAAAATTCCATGGAAGACTGATTGACTGGGTACCGTCCTTTTTGGTTCTAGTAACGTGCTTCAGTATTTTATTTGCTGAGGAACCAGATTATATGCTTTCAGGTTCTTAAAAAAAAAAAAAATCTCCTTTCATGCAATCACACTTGATGGTATACTTTACAGTAGTTCTCTAAAATATTTTTGTAGTGCTTTCTGTTTATTGTTATAAGGGAATAGAAAAGAAAGTAGACTACTCTGGTGTAACTTCTATGGCTTATTCTAAAAGAACCTACCATTTTCAGATTAATTTTATTTTGAACCTGGATTTAGAAATATGTCATGGCTTTTAAATACAACAGGACAGATATTTAGCAGCATCTCATTAAAAACAGCCTGAGCTCCTCTGCCCCAAACACCATGTGCTAGACTGCACCTAATAGAACTGGTAAGCCACCTTGCCTGCTACTCCTTACTAAAAAATTTAAGAAGCACAATCATTAAAGGAGAGAATTCAAGAAAAGTGTTAAAAAAATAATCAATATGTTAGGCTATCAACAAAGCAATGAAAGTGTTTGTGCATGTACGCTTGCAGCATTCCCACTCATTCTTGCAGGCCACTTGCACCATAAAAAACAAGCAATATGACAAGGTGGGGGAGTAGGTATATCAGTCCTATGTCACAGTTACCATATTTGATTTTTCTCAGAAAAGGTGAACCTCCAGCTAGTTGTTTTACAAGCTTTAAAAAGTTCGTTTGCTTTTAAGGTTTCTTTATTGAGAAGAAATACAGCTGAAAGAATGCCTTTTAAAAAGCTTTTCAGGGCTCTGTCGTGGTAGCAGCCATTTTGATGCGTTTTTCCTCTGACGGGAGACTTAAAAAATAACTTTAAAAAAAGTGTAATTTCCTTTAAATTTGATGGTGTTGATAATGGGAATAAATTGTGTTTCTGATCCACTAATGCACCAGTTGCTCAAAAATATGGAATAATCTGAATTGGATTCACCTCAACATTTATTTGTCAGTCAAAAACCATTCTTGGAGCGTAGGTTTCTAATCTGTTAATGTTGGTGACACTATATGTGCCTTGATAACAAAATATATAGTTAAAGTCTTATTGGTTTTACCCATGAAAACGATCATATAAATAGTTCACCTCATTATTTCTGTAACGTATCCATAAGCCATGTCATGATTGAAAGCTCCAATTTTGCAAAGCATGTGTGTGAATTGCTTTAAAAATGTTTCGGTGTCAGATTTATTTATTTTTTTAAGTTACTGTGTGTTCTGAAGTATGATGTGGAATATCAACGTTTTTCTTTATCCTAGTTTTCCTGAGCTAAGCAGTCTCTGCTTCAGGAAACAGCAATGTTAGAACTGTTACATATGTGGAAACTGCTTGACCTTTCATACACAGTAAGAAATAGTAGATACAGTATCTGCTTAGTATTGATTTGTCCTTTCTAAAGGTCACTAACTGGAGACTGTATGGATGAGTGAAACCTGAGCATAGGTTCTGTCCTTCCCAATATCGCACACAAAACTTGAAAACATTGTTTTAAAGCCAGAGTAGTTCAGATCTTTTATATGAAAGTTTTGTAAAGCTACCTCCCTTGCTGCCAGGCCATGCTAAAATAGCAGTACAGGCATTCCAGCAGTAGAAATGCTACATTTTTTTTTAAGAGCAAAGGTTCCTAATTTCCTCTGGGAGCTGTTTGCACTTAGGAAAGCAGCGACTCCTTGACTTCCTTAGAAACCTTCCCTCTGGAGGAGTAGGCTTTACTTCTCACTCTAACCTTGAAGAATCAGCCGATTCAGACATTTGAAAGTTTTATATATTTAATGGGATGCATCTTTAAGTCGGTGTCAAAAGGCAAGCCGATAGAAAGAGTGATTATTATGGTGACTCTGGACAGGGTAGATTCTAATCACATAAGCTTTACAGTATAATTATAAGTAAAGGAACAAGGTTTTTTGTTTGTTTTTCTTTGTTTGTTTGTTTGTTGCTTTTTTTTGAGGAATCTGCTAATTTGGGGCAAGATAGGTGCCTGTTTTTGTTTGGGTCTTGTATACCAGTTGCACCTAGGTGTGCAATAAAATAATCTTACGTGGACCTGGGGATGCCAGTGTGCACACAGGATGGGGAGGAATTATACTCATATGACCTGACTTCATGGCTGTGCTTCATAATTCATTGAGTGACAGGTCAGTGTCAGTCTGTCTATTAGGCTTTTAAGTGGACCTGAATGTGATCTTTCTTTTTGACTGAATCCCTGAAAACTCTTTAGCACAAGTGGGTGGATCCTTCTCTTCACTGTTTCTTGTGCCT